TTAAAGATTTCACTGCTTCACTCATCCTGAGTCTAACTTACTGTGACTATTTGGGCACCAGATGTTATTTCCAACATAAAGATACCGCTCCCTCCCTCCTGCCTGTTCCCTCTTCCTCCACCTCTTGCCCAAAACACAGTAATCAAATCAATATTACCCTGACTTCTGAAAAGGACATGACAATCAATTACCCTCTTGATGCCCACTCATCAATACTGTCACTCCTCAGACTAAAACTCCCCTTGCCACCATTCCCTTACACATGTTCTACTCCTGATAGAATGGAAGCTCCTTGAGAACAAGGACTATGCATAGTCCTTGGCACATAGTAGGCATTTAACAAATGCACAGTCATTCATTCATTTAGTAGGTCAGTAGGTGGTTAATAAGCTAACCATGTCAAGAAAAGCTAAGAAAAACAAAAACTTTTTAAAAGCTATATTAGGGGAAAGAGAAGGAACAAAGAAGGATTGGACCCTTCTTAGGAGAGATGAGACAGTGATTAAAAATGACAAAGAGAAGGTAGAACACATCGATTCCTGTTTTGCTTCTGTTTTCTTTGATGGCGAGAATGATCTTTGCACTAGAAAAAGAAAGACAAAAAATGGCTAATAAGGAATTAATACTGATGATATTCTAATTGCCCTTGATGAGTTCAATCACCAGGCCAGGATAAAAATACATCCTGGAGTAGTGAAGAACTAAAGAACTAATTGCTAAGCCACTGAAAGATCACGTAGAAACTTCCAGGTCAGGTAATCAACCAAAACTAGACATTTCCTTCAGTCCCCACTAACTTAAAAAACTCACCTCCCAAAATAAAAGAGGAATTATGTTCCCTTGGTAGAGCAATTACACCTGTCCTCACGAGTCAAAAAACCAAGAAGCCTAACCAGACAATAGACTTAGGAACTAACAGTGGAGAATGGTAATAATATCTAACAAGCTCACTCTGCATCCTCTCTCCCCACCAACCTCTCTGCCTCAGCAGGGCGTACTGTATGTTTGGGCTCTGGATCCCACTCAACAATTTCCCTGATGGTGCTAAAGTCTCCATCAGCACACCAGCTTCTACCCTCAACCCACCATTCAGTGTCCAAAAGTAGCAGACCTCAACTCTGTCTAGCTACTTGCAGAGGAGCAGGAGTGTTTTCTCTGCCTCAAACACTCATTAGCTGTAAACCTATGCAAGCCACTTATCCTTATTTTACTCATGTATAAAATGGGGATAATAACAATAGAACCTACCTCCTAAGGTTGTGAGAATAAAATGAGATAATATTTATAAAGTGCTTTGCAAATCTTAAAGTGGTATATAAAAGCTATTATGGAACAGATAGAAAATGTGTGAAAAATGACGTTAAGGACAAAAAGATGTAAAATACTTTGCAAACTTTAAAGTACTGTATAAATGTCAGATTATTATCATCATTACTATTTATCCTTTAAAAACTGGAGGATCCAAGAAGGGGTAAGCGTTCATGATCCTCACCAACAAGGAAGATGTGGTTGCTGGGTTGAAAATGATGCTATGGAAAACAATTTCATACTCTACATTACAGGCACAATCCTACCAGAACCAATTTTTATTCCAATCTAAGTATTTCTGCTTAGAAGATCAAAAACTGACACAGCCACCCAATGACTGAAAATCTCTCTTCAATCAAGCAATTTTGAAGTTACAGTATAGCATTTCTGGACAATAGAAAAAAATTCACAATGAGATAAAACAGTTAATAATGCTTTGGTAAATTTCTGTTAACATTTTGCTTCCTCAAATAGAACAAGTCACAACTTTCAGCACATCTTTGGAAAACCATTCAATCCTTCTTTGACTGCTCCTTTCAAGGATTTGCCTTTCCAGCTCATCAAAGATGAACTCAAGAGAGATTTCCATTAACTGAAATGATCAAAGGGACCCTAATATGATCTAATCACTTCAGGGTCTAGTACTTTCCAGAACTGGTTTCTCCCTGGATACCCCTCTATCTAAGCTTTCCTCCTTCCCATGTGACCACACACCTCATGCTCTTTTGCTGAGTCATCATTCATGTCCTGCTTGCCAATTAATGTGTATATCTAAAGGCTTTGTCCTGGGACCTTTTCCCTCTATACTCTTTACATTCTCTTACTTATTAGCTTCTCTGTAAGTTTAATTATATGAATTATATGAAATTGACTACCAGATCTGTACACCCAACTTTAGTCTTTCAACTTTCTTTCAGTTCCACATCACCTATGCGTAGACATGGACATGGAGAGACATAGGCTAAATGACAGTAGTTAATACAATTTAAATTTGGTGAATTGCTAATCATAGCTAGGTAGTACAGTGAATAAAGTTCCAGGGCCCAACGTCAGGAAGACTCATAGCCAAGTTCAAATCTGGCCTCAGACACTTACTAGCTGTGTGACACTAGGCAAGTCACCTAGCCCTATTTGCCTCTGTTTCCTCATCTGTAAACTGAGCTGGAGAAGGAAATGGCAAATCAGTCCCATCTCTTTGCCAAGGGGTCATAGAATAGGACACAACTGAAACAACTCAACAACAATAAACTAAAAAAGTAGTCATTAGCAGTTTGGTGTCTACTTGGGAAGGAAGTTTTCAATAAAGTATCCCAGTTTAACATTTTTATGACTTACATAAAAGTATACTTATCAAATATGAAGAAGACAAAGTTGGGAAGAATAGCTAATGTCTAAGATAACAGGGATCCAAAAAGACCATAACAAATTAGAATCTAATAAGATGAAACGTAATTGGGAAAAATGTAAAGTCTTACATTTAGGTTCCAAAAAACAAATTCACAATCAGAGAACGAGGCTAGCCAGCAATATCGTCTCATATGAATCAAAAGCTCTTGCAATCTTAGGCTACACTAAGGATAGTATCCAGAAGTATAACTCTACTTTCAGTCAAGTACTCTACTTTGATCAATCACATTTGGAACAATGTATTCAATCTGGGATGCCGCACATCAGGGAGAGGCAATAAGCATGAAGGGGCTGGATGTCAGAACAATATTCTGCAGAGTGGGGCTCTTACTGTTTACTAAACGGTTGTTCTTATAGGTGCATATATCTTATCTCCCCAACTAGACAGTAAGCTCTTTAGTGGCAGGAACCAAATCTTATACTTCTTTGCATTGGCAAGGTGCCAATGAGACAGTTGGAAACATTTGTTGACATAGGTAGAAGACAATGATTAACAGGGGCAAAGGCAAAGTATCTGCATTTGCAACTTTTATCATGGAGCCCTTTGGCAGTCTACTTGCTTTGTTCCTATTTTTTCCTAAGTGGTTTGTTTTTTTTTTTGTAAAGAGCAGATCATTCTATTCTTTAGTCTTGGGGCATGTTTGACATTACATGGAATTTTCAGATGCCCATTTATCAAGTCATCCAAATAATCATTTTAACCCCTTGATCCTCAAGTTTCTTTCAATCACTGCAGTAAAGGAGCTACTAAGTGGTCTAGGCACAATAATAGCAGCTGACACTCCTCTCTAAGAATCACCTTCCATTTAGTCTGCATGTACCTCATATATATTTATTTACACAACATCCTCCTCATTGGAATGCAAACTATTGAGGGCCAAGGCTGCTTTGGCCTTTATTTTCACCCAGAATTTAGAGCTTAATATATTCTTGTCGAATGACCATGCTGTGTTGCTTTCATATTCACTATCTCACATAATACTTCTAACAACCCTGTACTCTCATTTCACAGTTAAGGTAACTTAGACCCAGGTTAAGAGGCTTGCTGCTAGTAATTATCAGGGCAGAATTCGAACGGAGGCCTTTCTGATACCAAGTTTAGATTACCTAGATTGGTCACCAATATGACATCCTTCCTACCCCATTTCCACTTTCTTAAAAAACAGGAGGTGTATGGTGGGGGGAAAGGACCCATTTATTTCTCTACTGCGCTCTCTCCAAATATATAGGTAAAATCAGTAGTGGTAAATTCCTCATAAGTGCCAGCAAATCAAACGACACAGGAATCTCCCAGGTAGAAACCAAATATTGCAATTTGCCTTCAGCTGCAGAGCTCTGGCTAGGGCCCAACGGGAAGAAAGAAAAAAAAAGGAAAACAATCAAAAGCATAAGTAGGTAGCAGTCCCAAGTATCCGGGCTTCTCTGGGATGCTTGCTCGCCAGGACTACTGCTATATGCCGGATCCCGTACCCTCCGCACCCCGGTAGCACAGCGACCCAGGACACAACATCCGGGTCCAAAAGGCACTACCCATCCCCAGTAAACTAAGGCGGGAGGGAGGAGCAAAGGCGGCGGGCGGAGTCCCTGCAGAGTCTCCAACCTAGCCCCGGCCCCCACCTCCACCCCTAACTCGCTCTGACGTTAGAGCAGTCACTTTCCTTCCCGCACCTCTCCGCCCCGTTTCCCATCACCCTCCCCCCGGTCAAGGCTAAGCATGGGACCAGAGTATTTCTGAGGAATTTCTGCATCGCTCCGGGGTAGCCGACGCCAGGCGCGGAACAAGATGGCGGGCAGACGCACTCTGCTCTGCTTCCTCCACGCTGCACTTGCCCTCAATCCTCCAGCACACTTTGGCAGCCTTGGAGCCCGAGTTTCCTGCCCCATCCCAGTGGCCCCTGATCACCATGGAAACGGGCCAGGGCGCTCCAAACTAAGGCTGGCCAAGTTCCCGGCGGCTGCGGGCGATTGGCCGAAGGAGCGCTTGAACCGGAAATGGCTCGTCCTCTCCCTCCCCGCCGCCCCACCCTCCTGCAGTCCCGCCCCTCCCCCTCACGGAATGCGTGCAATGCACGTGGTCCACGGGGCCGCGCCAAGCCGCTCCTCCCACGTGATCTCCTTCGCCCTGCCCGGCTCCCTCCGCCCCTCCGGTCCGTGCTCCTCCCCACCGACTTCCCCTGAAGGGGCGGGAGAGCGGGCCGTTGGAGGAGGGACAGTGGTCGCGCGCCCTGCCCGTTAGAGGCCAGCTTCCACTCGGGGGAGGAGAGGGAAAGAGGGAGGGTCCTGGGAGCTCGAGACGCCGTGGCGGGGAAAGGAGGAGGATCCGGTCAGGGCTGGAAAACTGCACGTGAGCCGGTGCAGTAAGCTTTGTGCAGGGCGCGCTAGCGGGGCTCGGGGCGTTGCTTTGGTCGTTTTTCCTTTCCATTTTACAGTCCCGGAGGACAGGCGCGATGGAAGCCCCCTTACCCCCTCGGGAGTCTGCGGAATTCGTGGCGGTCCGTAGCCAAGATGTGTTTGTTGAAAAAGGCGGAGTCGATCGAGTGGCCGAGATGCTGCTGGAGAAGGTCCCGGGCCGAGAGTTCGGCTTGGGGGGCTGGAAGTCCTTGCACGAGCTGAACCCTCAGGCGACCGACGAAGATGCGGTCAACTGGGTGTTTGTGGTGGACACTCTCAATTTCTCCTTTTGGTCCGAACAGGAAGATCGCAAGTGTGCGGTGAAGTACAGGAGTAAAACGTACAGCGGGTACTGGGCCCTTTGCGCTGCGGTCAACCGAGCCCTGGATGAAGGTTAGCCCCGGGCCTCGGTCCGCATCGAGGCCGAGGAATGAAGTTATAAGTAGTTCAGATATAGCTGTATAAGATAAAACTATATAAGGTGCGGCTTGGGAGAAAGTTAGGGGGGTGAGCAGAGGGAGACCCTAAGTTAGGCTGAGCGAAGGGCGGCTCTGCAAGTGGAAGGGGCTGCTGTCGCTACCTTGCCCTAATTTTGACACTTCCCAAAAACCTCGTACTTAAAATAAGATCGATCAACGAGTATTTGTTTTTTAAGCACCTCCTATATGCTAGGCACTGTGCTAAGCCGAAGTGCAATAAAGGGCACAAGTAGGAAAACATTACAAGTTTTCTGTTACCTGAAGTTACATCCGATATGATAAAATCAATAGAAATGCTTTTAAAATAATAGAAGTATCATAAATGATGTCCTATTGTAAGGCCTAAGGATAATAAAAGTGTAGAGCAGAGACCCACAATTGGCATTTTGCCAGTGATTTTGTTGTTGTTGTTATTGGTGTGCTTTTGGTGTGAGTTTTCTGTAAAATTTATTTGGTTTCACATAAATGTTTCTAATAGAGCGTGGAAGTATACAATGTTTCATTTGCTATTGAAGGAGGTACTTTGGCATTTTTATTGTGAGTAGCAAGTTCCAAGAGTCAGTGGTAGCTTCGTGGATAATTAGGTATGGAGTCAAGAAACCTTGAGTTCATACCCCAATTCAGATACTTGTTGGCTGTGTAACTCTGGACAAGTCACTTAACTTCTAGGACTTCTGCTGGGTAGAGGGAGTTCTAAGCTCATGAAGTCATAGGCACTTAAAAGATTTGAGTAGTACAGTGTAATTGTTATAGAGGAGACATCAGAAAACCTCTAGGCCTGCCTTCTCTTTTTACAGATGAGGATACAGGCCCACAGGTAAGAAATGCTCAAGGTCACAATACGTAATAAGTAGCAGAGCTAGAATTTTAACCCAGGTCCACTGATTGTCAATCCAGTCAGTACTCTTCCACTACTATCCCACAATTGCTCCATATTCATAATTTTTTAAACTTTTCTATCAAGCATCAGTATTTAATATAGCATAAAACGCAATAAAACACTAAAGCTGTTTTTGCATTTGTAAAATCTTACTATGGGACAGCTAGGTGGCCCCCCCCCCAAAAAAGAAAGAAACTGACACCCAGAGATTTGGTTAAGTGTCTCAGCCAAGGTCACATAAGTGATAGAGGTCTGAGCTCCCAAGTTCACTGCATTCCCAAAGTACTACTTGTGTCTGAAGAATGCGTGGGAATTTTGATAATCCTTGTTTTGATTCAAAGTACCTTCACTACAGCAAGATGACTAGATTTAATCAACAATTTTAGAAAAAGTACATTGTTATTGTTCAGATATAACTATAATTTGTATTCCTTACAACTATGAGACATGTATGTTTTAATTTAAGAAAATATATATACTATATATTTGAAAGTAGTGATTTACCAGGTTTCGCATGTTGAAGGCACTAAGGCTAAATTCATACCTCAAAACTTTCTGGACCTTAGAGTTCCACTTTCAACAATAGTTCCACAAGGAGACAAAGAAATTATATGAAGTTGAATCATGACTCTTTTCTAATCATTTATATTTTTGACTAGTGAAAGATAAAAATAAATACTTTCAAATGCAACATATTCTTCTCAGTAATAATTTCAATGCAACAGCTACTAAAGCAAGGAAAATGTATTGAGGAGGAAATATAAAATTATGGACATGCAGGCCTCCAAATGTGCAAAGACTGTTTAGTAAGATTTTTATTTTCTGGTGAGGCAATTGGGGTTAAAAGACTTGCCCAGGGTCATAGAGCTAGTAAGTGTTATGTGCCTGAGGCTGAATTTGAACTCAGGTCCTCCTGACTCCAAGGCCGGTGCTCTATCTACTGTGCCACCTAACTGCCCCATGGGTCAGTTTCTTCATCTCTAAAATGAGAGGTCAACTTCTAGGTACCTTCTGAAGTCCTTTTCATCTCTGGCTTTATGATTCGATAGACAGTATTACATTTTGCACGGTTAAAATAAATGAAAAACTTCTCTTAGCCTTCAGTACCACTTGTCTTACAAAGATTCCATTCAAACTAAAAGTCACATTAGCTGTTTTCAGAATAGGTACCCAGGAAATTTGGGCTCCCTCTGCATATGAATAATTTCTTGGTAGAATTTATTTTGCATTGCATTTATAATTTAAGATTGGAATTTAGGTTTGATTAGGATCTTAACAAAATACTGAAAATAGAACTTAGGATTTTTTTTGTTTTCATATTTATGTAAAGGTCTTAAGTTGTTCTTTGAATTATCTTTTTTTGTTTTTGCTTTTCTTCTCCCCTCATCCCCTCAAGGAATACCCCTCACTAGGGCGTCATTCTATGCCACAGTTACTCTTGATCAGCTTCAGCATATTTTGCATTCTGACACAGATGTGCCTATGCCTTTGATAGAAGAGAGGCATCAGATTCTCAATGAAACTGGAAAAATTTTACTTGAGAAGTTTGGAGGGTCTTTTCTTAATTGTGTTCGAAAGAGTGACAAAAGTGCACAAAAACTCCTGTCCCTGGTAGTTGAAAGTTTTCCTTCTTATAGAGATGTGGCTGTATATCAGGTGAGTTGGTTTTTTTTTGAGAAATTAAATGCCCATCTAAAAATTATCCACACTATTACTGTTGTATTATGGAACACTTCTCAAATTTACAGTGAAAATTTAACTTTTAAAGGACAAAAATGCATTTGTAAGCAGCTACCTTGTGCAGTAGATAGAGTGCTGGTCCTGGATCAGGAATACCTAAGTTCAAATCCTGCTTCATACATTTACTAACTGTGGACCTAGTCAAGTCACATAAACTCTCTCAGCCTTAGTTTTCTCATCTGTAAAATGGAGGTAATAATAGCACATATCCCTCATGGTTGTTGTGAGAATCAAATGAGTTAATATAGGTGAAATACTTTGCAACCCTTAAAGCATTATGTGGTTGCTACTGTTGTAATAATAATCAAAGATTTTATAATTAATTTTTAATTTTAGTCCTTAATTACCAAAATACTGTCCTCAGTCCTTCTATGCTTTCTCTGTAACTTGGTAATCTCATCATTCACTACCATGGCTTCTGTTATGACCTTATATGTATGAACTTCACTGTCATTTGAGAAGGGGCCCTAGAAGTCACAGAGTCTTAGCTCTTTCGTTTTACAGATGAGGAACTGAGGTCTAAAGAGATTTAAGTGACTTACCCCAGCTCACGCAGGTGGCAAGTGGCAGAGCCATGCTCTTTGCACCCAGGTTCTCCAGCACCAAAGTCATTGTTTTTTCCACTGTAATATGTGACTGCAATCTCAAGTTTTAGTCCAGCATTTCTAGTTTCCTACTGGATAGCTCCTCTTGGCAATTTCACCATCAAACTCAATATGTCTGAAATGGAAATCATTGCCTTCTGCCCCCAAATATTTTCTTCCTTCTGATTTCCCCCTTTCAGTTAATAGTGTCATTTTCTTCCTGGACTTAAAAACTATCATGTCAGTCATCTCTGATACTTTCTTTTACCTTCTTCCCAAACCCCCTCTCCAATCCAATTAGTAAGCATTTGACTTTTGTCTCAACAGTGTCTGTTGCATTGATCTCTTCTTTTATATTCCCACTGTACCACTTGTGAAGTTACACACCCCGTTCAGCTCCTGATGACCACTCATCACAGCTATTGCAGTAGACCTCTAACTGTCCAGAGTCTCACTCTTTCTATCCATCCTATACGTTACTGTCTTGAATTATTTCCCTAAATCTCAACTCTTATCCCTCTATTCCCAAAAACCTTCTGTGGTTCCTCATTGCTTGTAGAATAAGGTCCATACTCTTTAGCACAGCCTCCAAGTCCCCTGTCACCTGATTGCAGTCTTGTTTTTCAACTTTTGTATATATTTATCTTATGCTTTCTGACAAATCAAGCAATTCACCATGCCCTGCCATGATGGTATGCTGCACTACTTTGGCTAATTCTGCTCCCTTTGTTTGGGAGCCCTCTTTCCAGCCTGTCAAAATCGTTCAAGGCTTAAGACTCAGATTCTGCTTCTGTCATGAAAGTCTTACCCTTGCCATCAGCTGAAAGTAAACCCTGCTTTTTCTATCTGGCCATAGCTCATTTGTGACAATTAACTCATTATGCCTTTTGTTATATTTATCCTCTCCTAGATATAAACTACTTAAAAATAGGGACCATATTATCTTAATCTTCATATCCTCCACCATACCTTGCCAGATAGATGTCTGATGCTTACTTGTTGAATTACGTTTTAAGTTAACTTAATTAAAAATTTTGTCTTAATTTAGATAGCATCTAACTGGAATAAGAATCTAAATTAAACTTAGTTAAAGATTTACCTCTACAAATGTCTGAAGCTTAGTCAGCATTTTCTTAATCTTGAAATAATAATCCAATTTCTATTCATGAGTAATTCTGTGTGAACAAAAGGCAGTAACAAATTTAGTACTAAAATAATTAAAAGTTCTATTCTGTTTCCTATCAATATTGACTGACTTTCTCATCCTTGCCTTAATTTGTATCTCTTGGTTCTTTACTGGTTTTTACCCCTGCTTGTTTTCTCTAGTACCATATTGAATGGAATCTAAGATAAATCTGCTTAATACCAAATTGCTCTATAACATATAGTATTATAATAAGATTCAAATGTTTTTCTACGCGGTGCATTTTGTTTAATACTTCAAAGTACTTTAACAATATTTAATTTTATGGAGAAAACAAGATGTTCGCTCGAGTTATGTTACTTATAAAATTGTTGGGTTTTTTGAAAAAATAATGTTTTATTATTTTTCCAATTACATGTAAAAACAATTTTTAACATTTAGTTTTTAAAATTTTGAATTCCAAATTCTGTCCCTCCTTCTTTCCTTTCTCCCCTCTGTGAGGCAGTAAGCAATTTGATATAGGCTATGCATGTGCAACCATACAAAACATATTTCCATACTAGTCATGCTGTGAAATAAGACAGAGAATAAAAAAAAAAAAATCACCATGAAAAAAATAAAGTGAAAAAATAGAATGCTTCAATTTGCATTCAGACTCCATTAGTTCTTTCCCTGGTGGTGGATAGCATTTTTCATCAAGAGTCCTTTGGAATTGTCTTGGATCATTTTATTGCTGAGAATAGCTAAGTCATTCAGCTGATCATCATATAACATTGCTGTTACTGTGTACAATGTTTTCCTGGTTCTGCTAACTTCACTTTGCATCAGTTCATGTAAGTCTTTTCAGGTTGTTTTTTTTTTTAATTGATCATCCTGCTCATCATTTCTTATAGCACAATAATATTCCATTACAATCATATACCATAACTTGTTCAGCTGTTTCCTGATTGATGGACAGCCTCTCAATTTTCAGTTCTTTTCCACCACTATAATTCTAGTGCCATAGCACCAGAAAGGACCTCAGAAAAAATGTCTTAAATTAATCTAATACATAATAAATACTTTAAATCCAGTCTCATAAGTTGGACTAGATCTGATCTACAAATTGAGAGATAACTATATTTTCTCCATTGTATTTATTGATATTGAATATTGTCCTCTTTCTGACTTGATCATTTCATTGCTTTTTCAAGGTCATTCCAAATTTAGTGATGGGTTGTTTTTTTGTTTTTGTTTTTGTTTTTTTTTTCAACTTATGAAGTAGCAACAGCTCTTATTGGCTTGGTGGTGCCTACGAAATTATCAGCTATAGCCCTTGGTCCAACATATATGCTGTTGTTAAAAGTATTAGATATTTTACAAAGGGCCTTCCCTCTTAGCCCTTCATGTATCCTGGGGCCACAATGGTTGTGGCCTTGCAATGACTTGAGCTAAATTTTCAGAGACCTCAGGATGTGGTAAATTTAAGACATATTGAAGTTCTGTTTGCTTTTAGTTGTCATAGATTCTGTTGTCATGGAATCATGGATTCCCAGTATCATGGAAGAAAGGAAAGAAGAAAGCAATTAAGTTTTATAGATGAATCACTCTGTTTTAGAGTTCAGTTCATCAAATATTTAATGAAATCTATGAAATCAATGAAAATCTACTATATCCCCAGAATTGTGCTTTTCTCTTGCTTTATGTATTAGATACATCCCTAAGAAATTGCATGTAAATGATTTTTTAAATAAATAATGTTTTAGATGTAAGCACATTGAATTTCCTTCAAGTGAACCGCACTGTAAAGGGAACATTGGTATATTGAATCATTCATCCTAAATCCCCTCATATTCCTCATTTCCTGTTCCTGTTGAGGGTGCTACCATATTTCCATTCTAAGGTTTGCAACCTCAGAGTCATTCCTTAGCCACCCAGTCATTTGCCATGTTTTGTCAATTTACTTTCTTCAGTATCTCTCCTGTTCTCCTCTTATACCACAACCACCCTAATTTAGGATCTCATTAACTGTCATTTGTACTACTATAATAGCTTGTTAATTGGTTTCTCTCCTTCCATTTTCTCCTTTTTCTGACATCCTACACAGTTGTTAAATTGAGATTCTTAAATTACAAATTTGAACATGTCATTCCCCTGCTCAAGGGGCTTCAGGGGCTCCTTACATCCTGCATTACAAATTCCTATTTGACACTTGAAATTCTTTGAAGTGTGGCTTTCAACTTTCTTTCCCGCCACACTTCAAAGTAGTAAATTTGTCCTCTATGGAGTAATACATCTCAAATTATCAAAGAAATCAAAAGAGGAAAGTCAATCAACCAATAAACATTTATTAAGCTCCTCTATGTGACAGATACTATGCTAGGTGCTCGAGATTATATGCAATATACAGAAGCATGCATACACACACACATAAGTCATATACCCATATATGGAACAATCTCTGTCCTCAAAAGATCTCATATTCTTTACATTCTACTAGGAGGGTACAACATGTTCAAATATATACATATATATATATATATATACACACACACACACACATATTTGCATAAATACAAAGTGATTTAAGGAAGGACTAGAGCAGCGGTAGGGTAATCAGCAAAGACCTCTTGAAGAAGACAGCATTTAAGGGGGAAGACCTGTGTAGGAAAGAGCAGCCAGGTGGTACAGTAGATAGAGTGCCAGGGCCTGAACTCGGGAAAACTCATCTTCCTCAGCTCAAATCTGGCCTCAGACAGTTAGTAGATGTGTGACCCAGGGCAAGTCACTTAACCCTGTTTCCTTCAGTTTTCTCATCTGTAAAATGAGCTGGAGAGAAAAATGGCAAACCACTCCAGTATCTTTACCAAGAAAATTCCAAATGGGGTCACAACAAGTCAGATATGACTGAAAGATGACTGAAGAACAACAATAATCTGCATGGGATGGATTCTAGATCCAGTGTAAGCACTCCGTCAATCAGGGCTTAGAGATAAACCACTGTACTGAGAGACTCCCCTAGAACTGCCCTGAGCTCTTGAAACAAGAGGGCAAAGTGAAAATAGAATCAACCAGTCATCTCCTAAAAGAAACCTCGAAACAAAAATTCCCGGGATTATAACCAAAATCCAGCACTTTAAGGTCACAGAAAAAATACAAAGTAGACAAAAAGTTCTGTCAGTCAACAGTCATGACACCAAAAGAAATGA